TATGCTGATCTGTTCTATTGTTGATAACCATTATATGTTATGTATGTTGATCTGTTCTATTGTTGGTAACTATTATATGTTATGCATGTTGATCTGTTCTATTGTTGGTAACCATTATATATATTATGTATGTTGATCACAAAATCCTGATGTAACTATTACCAAGTTCCATATAATGATAATCAGATATAAATTTTTGTTGGTATCTCTTTATTTTAAATATAAAATGAAAAGAACTTAGAACTGAATGTTAACATTAGCATGAAATAATGTTGTTTTTCTTTTTACAGTTAGCTAGTGTTTTACAGATTGATTTACAACAAGTTAAGGTTAGTAATATCTTTATATATTTCAAACTAACTTTGTGTTTGTAAAGACTGTGATGTTTATGGTTAATTTTCTAACTCCAACACTGACTTATTGAAAGTTTGAGTAAAGTTAGATATGACTAAGGTAGTTTAGTTTCTAAATTGTATGCTTTGGTATTAGAGTTATATAAGAATTGTACTTGTATAATGTTCTTGGACTTACACTTTAAAAATTTTAGTTTTTGCTCTACACAGCTAATAACCCATGTGGTGAAAATAAACACTTAGAAAATTCCTCAGGTCCAAAAAATCTTTTTGAACTATAAAAAGTTTTATAAAAAATTAGTCATTACTGTGAGTGAGAAGAAGTTAGGGCCATTTCTTAGATTGTGTTGTTGAAACCTTATTTACATCATTATGCCATGTGACATTGTCTTCATCTAGGTGTGTTTGTATAAAGTTACTACTCTGTATTTGAATATAGTATTCTAACATGTCTGTTTCTGTAAATTATAATGTATGTTTTGAAATCTGTTTTCCAGAATGCAGTTTCCATGTATTGTCGATTAGGATTTGCTCGTAAGAAAACTCAAGAGCTCGAGCCAAACTTTTATCATTTGTCATGGAAGAACAACGGTTCAGCTAAACTTCAAAGGTGAATTTAGCATTATTTATTTCTCACTTTAGAAGTTACTAGCTGTTGTTGTTGTTGAAACCAGATTTTTATATGTTTCTACATTAAATTGCAATAAATATTAGTTATATCCTCAAAAGTTTTAGTTATTTGGCATCTAGCTAATTAATTCATCCTCTGATTGTATCCTCAGGATTATATTTTCTTGGAACTTGTATTTTAATTGGCTAGTTTGGATACTTGTTTTTCCTGAAACTGTAGTTTTATTCTAATGTACGTATCCTATAGAGAAATATAAAGACGTGTTTATGATAAACAGCGTTAGTTAAACGAGTCGGTTAGTGCTCTACAGTTTCATTTGTTATCTGTTTCTCTAATTAAAAGTTTATATATGAAATTAGTGCAAACCATTAACATTGAATATCCAAATATGATCATGGCAAAAACATGTTAACACATCATCTCGTGATCATAACACAAGCATGTGATAATATGTGTGATCATAACAAAAACACATTAACACCTAGTATCCAAGTGTGATCATAACAAAAACACATTAACACCTAGAATCCAAGTGTGATCATAACAAAAACACATTAACACCTAGTATCCAAGTGTGATCATAACAAAAACACATTAACACCTAGTATCCAAGTGTGATCATAACAAAAACACATTAACACCTAGTATCCAAGTGT